TGCATCTAATGGGTGGGAATATTGTAGCTCTGCTCATGCTAGCTATTAGCAACCACCAAAATTTATGTCTCCTCTATGTCAGTTGGAGGAATTTACAGCTGATCCAGGACTGGGTACCTAACAAGCAATTTGACATCACACAGGCAGTGGAAGCGTTATAATATGTGTTGCACAGAGAAGGTCAATTCTCATTAGCAAACATGTGGACATTTCCACTAACATCTTCACATGTGGTCACTATGCATTGTCACATAGTTGTGGAAAAGGAGGTGGTCAAGGAAAGGTTCCTTAGCTCTCCAGAGATGCTGTGGTATAGCTATTTTCTAATCAAACTGTTCAACACACCACTGGATCACATGGGAATGGAACTTGGGTAACTGATCTTATCAGTAAGTTTGGAACCATGTAAGAACGATCCAAATGAGTTGAGCAATGAAGATGTGTCGGAGAAGATGGCCTAATCGGTCAAATACTGCCTGGAGATCAAAGAGAATGATGAGAAACAGTGTATCACAGACACAGAAGACATATTTGTAATTAGGTTGGGACAATGTTGGCGTAATGAATACCAAACCTATTTCTGATAAGATTGTTTAAATTAACTTTAAATGGAAAATATATGTACTAATGAATAGATGACATTATTCTAATGACACAATTTGCAAAATAGCTGCACAATTTTGCCTTTTTATTTCAGCTTCTAGCTTAACTCATTAATAAAGATTATCAATTCTTTAGATAGACTGAATTCCATGCTATAAGATATTAAAGAATGTATTATATTTAATTTAGCAAGAGTCTGTTTAATATATTTCCCTCTGACCTGCCATTTCTTCCTTCCTAAAAAAGATGGTGACTCAAGCAAACAGTTAACTCTAGTCTGACCCAAATTATCATTTTTGTAAAGAATTCATATCAGGACCCTACATTGTCCAATCAACTTCATGAGCTGCAACACCTAGGCTCAATTATTATGTCAATTACAACTAAAACCAGAGTGACCACAGCTTCCTCTCACTTGTGTTTTATTCCTATGGAGATAACCATTTCAGGAATCCTGCAGATTATCTAATTTTTATTATGAAAATACGGAGTTTTACTGAAGTCACAAATGACATCTTATGGGACCACGACAAAGGTAAACTATCTCTCACTGTCCTTTTTGACTTGTCTGTACCCTTTGATCACACCATCTTCCTTGAAAACCTCTCCACTGTCATCAAAGTGGGTCTCACAGCTCTCACCTGGTTTCATTCTTTTCTCTAATCATTGCCAAAGAATCACAATCAATGTCTTCTCATCTCACTCCCGCAATGTCTATTGTTCCCTCTGTCCTGTTTCTCACCTACATGCTGCCCTTTGCTGACATTCTCTACAAATGCAATGTCAGTTGAAACACATATGCTGGTGACACTCAGCTCTACCTCTGTCTATCCTTTCATTGTTGCTAAATTATTGGACTCTTTATTCATCATCCAGAACAAGGGAAGCATATATTTCCTCTGACTAAATATTGGCAATACTATTCCATTTCCTTGCCATTAATTCCATCTCTCTTCCTGATAATGGATGTGAACCTGAAGCAGCCTGTTCTCATCCTCAGTATCACATTTAACCCTAACATGACAACCATGTAACTGCACTGTCACTGAGATAGTCTGTTCCTGCATCTCTAATATTGCCTATCTCTGCCCCAGCCTCAGCTCTTCTGATGCAGAAAACTAGAGTCATAGAGATGAAGAAATAAACTTTACTGTTTTAAAAACAGTTCACATTATAGAAAAGGAGGTTTGGGAGGTTTAAAAGAATATAAAGGTGGATAAATCTCCGGGACCTGATCTAATGTATCCCAGAACATTGTGGGAAGTAAGGGAATAAATTACAAGACCCTTTGCAGAAATATTTGCAGCATGTATAACTACAGGTGATGTGCCTGATAGCTGGAGGGCGGCTAATGTTGTACCTTTGTTTAAGAAAGGTTGTAAGGAGAAACCGAGCAACAATAGAACTGTGAGGCTGACTTCAATTGTGGGTAAATTGTTGGAGGTGATTATATAAAAGATGGGATTTATGGATATTTTAGAGAGGCAAAAATTCATTAGGGATAGTCACCAAAAAGGTTGATGAAGGCAGAGCAGTAGACGTTGTTTATTTGGATTTTAGTAAAGTCTTTGACAAGGTTCCGTATGGTAGACTAATTAGTAAAGTTAGGTCATATGAGATTCAGGGTGAGCTTGCCAGTTGGATACAAAATTGTCTTAATGGCAGGAGACAGTGAGTAATGGTGGAGGGTTGATTTTTGAACTGGAGGCCTGTGACCAGCGGTGTTCCACAGAGATTGGTTTGGGTCCTCTTTTGTTTGTCATTTATATAAACGATTTGGATGACAAAATAGAAGGCATGGTTAGTAGGTTTGCAGATGGCCCCAAAATTAGTGGCATTGTAGACAGTGAAGAAGGTTTTCTAAGACTACAAAGTGATCTTGATCAAATGGATCAATGAGCTGAAAAATGGCAGATGGAGTTCAATCTGAATAAATGCAAGGTATTGCATTTTGGTACAACAAACAAGGGTAAGCTTTATACAGTTAATAGTAGGGCCTTGAGTAGTGTTGTAGAACAGAGGGACCTAGGTGCACAGGTACATAATTCTTTAAAGTTTGCATCACACATAAACAGGATGGTTAAAAAGGCATTTGTCACACTTGCCTTCATTGCTCAGTCCTTTGAGTTTATGAGTTGGGACGTTATGTTGAGGTTGTACAGGACATTGATGAGGCCTCTTCTGGAATACGATCTCCAGTTCTTGTCACCCAGTTATAGGAAGGGTATTATCAAGCTGGAGAGGGTTCAGAAGAGATTTACCAGTATGTTGCTGGGTATGGAAGGTTTGAGTTGTAAGGCAAGGCTGGATAGGCTGGAACTTTTTTCACTGGAGTGTAGGAGGTTGAGAGGTGACCTGATAACAGTTTATAAAATAATGAGAGGTATGGACAGAGTTGATGGTAGTTGTCTTTTTCCTAAGATGGAGAATTTCAAGACCCAGGGGCACATTTTTAGAGTGAGAGGGGAGAGATTTAAAAAAGACATGAGGCAAATTTTTTACATAAAATGTGGTTTGCATTTGGAACGAACTTCCTGATGAAGTGGTGAATGTGGGTACAATTACAGCATTTAAAAGACATTTGGATGGATATATGAATAGGAAAGGTTTGGAGGGATATGGGCCAGGAGCAGGCAGGTGGGACTAGGTTAGTTTGGGATTATGTTCAGTATCGACTTGTTGGACTGAAGGGTCTATTTCCATGTTGTATGAGTCTATGATGGTAACAGAACCGTCAGTCCAACAAGTGTATGCCAACCAGATATACTAAATTAATCTACTCCAATTTGCCAGCATTTGGCCCACATCCCCTCTAAACCCTTCCTGTTCATGTGCCTATCCAGATGCATTTTAAATGTTGTAATTGTACCAGCCTCCGCCAATTCCTCTGGCAGTTCATTCCATACACATATGTTTGTATTACTTCCAGTCTGGACTATTCACATGCACTCGTGGCCAGCTTCCCATGTTCTACCATTCATAAACATGAAGTCGTCCAAACTTCTGCTACCTCTTATACTGGCCATTCACCCATTATTGATTATTGACCTGCACTGGCTCCAGGTTAACCATCAGCTCAAATTTTAATATTCTTACCTTTGTTTTTAAATCTTGCTATGGCCTCGCCCCTCCCTCCCTCTGTGATCTCCTCCAACTCACTGAGGTGTCTGTGGTATCTTCAGCATCTCCAGTCCTAGTTGCTCCAATGATGGTGGCCATTCCTTCTGCTCTGGAATTGTGTCCCCTTCTAACTCACCAACCTCCTTTAAGACCATCTTTAAAAATCTACCTCTCACCAAACATTGGGTCATCTGCTCTAATATCTCCTGTTATGGCTCAATGTCATATTTTAGTTATAATGCTCCTGTTGAGTGCCTTGCTCCATTTTCCAACTACAAGGTACTATTGTCCAGTTTATCATCTTCAAATGAGATTCACTCAGGATCAAACCTGGCATCTCGTGCTGACTGGCACCATCCAATTAATGTAGTTCAGCACTAAATCACCAAGACAGAGATAGAGACAGTTTGTGCAACAAAAATAAACCGGGTGGGAGAGGCATAGGAATATTTAGCAATTTAATCCTTGATTCTCCAAGGTGTATCGATAGTCCACAGTGTCTGGCCCATAAAGGATGGACAATAAATGCTGGTCCAGCCAGTGATGCCCATATCCCATGAATGAGTAATAAAAGAAAGCCTGCGTCTATTTGTTTTAAACAGGCTAATCGTTTCACTACACTATGTGAAAGAATACTCTGTAACTGCGTTGTGACCCTCTCACCTGTTTCAAATCTTTAATTCACTGATTTACTTTTTATTGTGCATTGTGGGTGGTGAAGGAACCGCTGCCATGTATTGATCAATCCTAGATGCCCTCAGAAGGTGGCAGTAGGCTTTCCTCAGTGAAACCGCAAGCAACAGTGTTACACAGCCGAATGGCTTCTCAAATCCTTTGACAACATTTGGAGCTGGAATTACATACAGATCTGATCACGTAAAAACAGTACATTTTCCTTCCTAAAGGACTGGTGAAGGAGTTGGGTTTTATAACTACCGGACAGACGCGTGAACCTTTTTTTTTCAGCGCTACCAGCTTTTTATTTCCAATTTCTAGATTTCCAAACCTCCAGTAGTTCATTGGCTGCTAGAACACTTATCACCACCAGAGGTCGCTTCTGCTCTCGTTTTCTCCTGAGCATCACTCATCAAAGAGAAGGCGACATTGTCAGAACGGCACAGCCAAGGAGAAAGACCCGTGACAACAAGGTGCAGGGCTGGATGAACACAGCAGGCCAAGCAGCATCATAGGAGCAGAGAGGCTGACGTTTCGGGCCTAGACCCTTCATCAGAAAAGACCCGTGTTTTGTTTATTAGACAAAATATAAAGTTTTTACAGCCCAATGTTTATTCACAGTTTCTTTGTCGTATAAACACTTTTTTTAATATACAAAACATACCGTATAAACTATGACAAGGTAAGAAAACCTCCGATTTATGTTAAAAGATGCTCATTCCCCACTCGCTTATGAAATCTGGAAACAAAGTGGCTAATTTGAACATGGAAAAGGATTGGGAAGAAAGTTAGTGGATCATTAACTGGCTGTGCACCAATTGTTATTTAGACAAGGATTAGAAACTAAAGAATCTTAAGATTTGTGATGGCCAATAGACACAAAGATGCTCTGACGATGGAGAAAGTGCACTCACTACATTCCCACTTTTCTTTCGTCCTGCAATGTTTTCATTATATATGTTACAGAGAAATACTTCTGCATTATTGAAGTAATTTCCGTTTCACTAAACTACAGATTTTAGATGTAATTTCATACGAACATTTTCCAATTAGGAGTGTTAGATTGATTTTATTGTTTTCAAACAGTGCTCCTAATCCCATGCCCTAACTTAAATTTGGTTGTTTTCCCTTATAAACTGTTGTGTTGATAAATACACTATTAGCATAGTTCATCTTACGTTTCAAAACAAAAATCTCGGGGGAGTCAAACACCTGCAAATGGTTTCCAAGAAGGCAGTTTATATAAGGTCATTGTTTCAGTGCCGCCTCTTACAAATTGGACTAACTTAACACTGATCAAAGGCAGTCGAGATGGACTGTCATAAGAAGCTATGAACCAAGCCGTGAAAAGTTTTTAAAAAATGTATAAACGCCGTCTGTAGCATTAAACTCTTTTATAGTGGTGATATCCACCACGTCAGCATCTGCGGATTAGATTTCACTGGAACCGGGACTCAGTAATAAGTAAAAAACATCCCAGATATATGTTGAAACCCCTTTTTTAAAAGGCCGACACTGACAAATGTTGCATGCTTAATCTCGGTGACCCTGCAAAGTGAATGCAGAGAGTATAGATCTCTTCCGTTTTGTTGCGCATTTAACCTGGCCATTATGTCAAATTTGAACAAAAACAAAGTTGCTGGAAAAGCTCAGCAGGTCTGGCAGCATCTGTGAAGAAAAAAATCAGAATCAACACTTCAGGTCCGGTGTTCTGTGGAAGGGTCACCGGACCCGAAACGTTAACTCTGATTTTTTTTCTTCACAGATGCTGCCAGACCTGATGAGCTTTTCTAGCAACTTCTGTTTTAGTTCCTGATTTACAGCATCCGCAGTTTTTTCGGTTTCTATGTCAAATTTGAACTCTGTTATACAGCCAGTTGGCTTATAGAATCGAAGATTACTTGTAAGGTAGCCGGACCAGTGTTGTAATCACCTACGTGTGGATAGCAGACTTTTAGAATATTTGCACGTTCTCACTGAAAAGTTCCACTTTACCCAGGTTGTGGCCTGTGTGTTTTAACATTGTACAGGAATAATTGTACAGGAATTGTGCTGCCTGGTATTAATTGTCGTGCTTTGTATTAAGATAATGACTATAAATTAATCTTTTACAGGCCCCCACCCACTTCACTCACACCCTAGGTACTGAGCACACAGTTAGACGTGTGTGGAATCGCTCTCATTCCCAGCCCAATCACCGTCGACCGAGAGACAGAGACAGAGAGAGACAGACAGCACATCTTCCCAGATGAAAAGTGCATCCGGAAATTGCCCAAACTTTCACTTTGCACATTGGATGTCGGCTCGCCTTTTGTCCCTTCTCATTGGTCAGTACCTGCAATGTCTCTCCTTTTGGGCTCCAGTCTGGAATGACTGTTTAACACAAGCTGTCCATCTGTGAAACAGGCACCTGCCCAGATCTGGTAGTGAGTGACGGTGCCTGCCTGTCCCCTATTGCTTCTCCCGTGCTGAGAGGTCGCTGTTTCAGCCAGGGACCAGATCTTGGGTTTGAGCGCTGGCCCGGTGCTGTCTTTCGACTCCGCGCTGCTTGCTTTGCTTACGGCGCCCTGCTCCTCAGACATTCCCCTTTCTGGGGTCTCCCTCTCGCTCCCTTCCAAGCCTGTCCTCACATCGTTGCCCCGTTCACAGTCAGTGCCATCTCTAGCTCCATGCCCAGGGTCTCCATCGCCACTCGGCTTCTGCTGCTCCTTGTCCTGCATTCCGTCCACCGCCTCCTTCTTGCCTTCCTCCTCATCGCTTTCACTTTCCTCCTCGTCCGATTTGGTCTTGGGGACCCAGGTCATCTTATTTTCTTTCTTTAGCCGCCTCCTGGCGTTGGCGAACCAGGTGGAGACCTGAGTCAGGGTCATTTTGGTGACAATCGCCAGCATGATCTTCTCGCCTTTGGTTGGGTAAGGATTCTTTAAGTGTTCGTTCAGCCAGGCCTTGAGAGTGCTGGTGCTCTCCCGGGTAGCGTTCTTGGCTCGGCCCGGGTCCCCGTGCGCTATCGGGCGGTAAGGCGAGTAAAGAGCGCCGCCTGGCGAGAAGCCTGCCTGCGAGTAGAGGCAGCCAGCTTTCAGGTCATAGGCGGACCCCTGAAAAATCAGAAGCAAAACGGTACTTATCCAGTACATGCATTCCAAGACAATGTGCAACAGGGTTTACAATTCAAATTGCAAGATGACTAATTTGAATAGCATTAATGTCACAACACACCTTAATACAAGAGTACACTATTAGATCCCTTTCAGTTTTTCTAAAAAGAATCTCTCTATGTATAAAAAAAGGATACATCCCAAACAATTAAAGTTGAGTGAGGGTTCTGACCCAAAATGTCAACTTTCCTGCTCCCCTGATGCTGCCTGGCCTGCTGTGTTCCTCCAGTTCCACACTGTGTTATCTCTGACTCCAGCATCGGCAGTTTCTCACTATCTGAGTTAAGGTTGAGTAAATGATTTTATCTGCAAATCCTTCCACTCGCCTGTATTATTTACACCTTTGTAGAGGTCTAAATTCGGCTCCACCATCTGTTTGTGACGTGAATAGATGTCTAGGGCCGTCAAAATTGTGCTAGAAGTCAGGGGCGAGCTTAGTAATCGGTCAAATTGAAATTAAAATTAATAATTATTGACGACCTACCGAGGGATCTAAAGCCAACCGCTTCAACTACAGGGCCGTGAGACTCTACACTTCGAAGATTTGTCAGGTATTTTAAACATTTAAAACATAGGCCTGACATAGTCCAACTTCACAGCTTTGGCCTGAAAGCAGTTGACATCTGGCCTAACACACAGAGTAACACACAGCCTTCTTGATCCGCTGCTACACATACCAGCCTTCAGCTCACCCTGGCCTCTTACATTGAAGTATGTAAATTCCGTGATGAAAAGGACATGGCCCTAGCTGAATTTACCACAAAAGCTACGCGATCTGCTAGGTGTTCCCAATAATTTCCAGTTAATTTTAATTAAAAAGATGTATGTGCTAACATGAGGAGTAAAAGATGCTGTAATATCGGAAACTATGAAATTGCGGATTAACGCTCCTCATTTTAAACAAACTTTTTCAAGATTGATAATGTGAAGGTGCCATTTAGAAACTAGCTTCCTTTGCTGAATTAAAGACAGCGAGGTATTTCTTATTTTTATTGGTGAATGTCTTATGCACATTAATCGCAGTATATTCAGTCGTGCTGTGGCTGCTATATTAAGTAGCCTCCTGAGAGTTTTGTAAATAATTGTTGTAAAATCTAAACCACCGCCACCACTTAAACCGGTAGCGAGGTTATAAACACGATTTCGTTTTATATTAATTAATAACGGCAAAACGTTGGGCTGTAAGTAATACAAAGATCGAATTCAGCGAGAATGTAAGATTTTTAAAAGGCTGAATCGAATTGGGTCAGAGTGGGAGTGCTGAAGTCAGACATAGGGCAGCAGTGACTTCTCTCACTCTAAAAATGATCTCGCCTTGTTCTCGCTGCAAGTAACGACCCATTTACAGACTGAGAACAAACTACAGTTCAAACTCTCTACAATAAAAATGGGCACAGCTTCCTTACCAGGTGGGACAGGTGCCTGAGATCGGGATAAGGCTGGAGACTGTATCCTTGTGGAATTGGATATGTGCCTGGATACCGGGCCAGGAGAGCATGGAGAGGTGGGGGTACTCCAAGACTGAGAGAAGCTCCGGGAGAGGCCAGCATCGCCGCCTGTCTCTCCACAAACATAGCCGGCAGACCGCTCAGAGCAGAGCCCTTCCCGGCAGTGACCACATCCCCGTATCCCAGCTGAGGAATAGCCATAATGCGATATAGACTAAAGAAAACCACACTATCAAACTAATCGCCGTCTGTCTCTATATATCCCCCTCTGTCCAGTCCATTGGAGAGCTCTGGTATGATTGACAGGAGCTGTGTAAATGGTATTTACATATGATTAGTGAGGTTTAACCATTCAGAAGCCGGGCTCGCACTCAGCACAATACTGTACTCACTTCAAACTTGAAAACACGTAGGGATTCATTCTGTCAAGAGGTTTTAAACACGGTCTAAAGCCATAAAGAAAAGGGCATTTCAAGATGTTAATCTCAGAAGCAAATTAATCTTCTCTTTCCTTTGAAGGCACTTTTAAATTGATTTCAACCACGCAGTGCGACAGGAAAATTCTCTTTTTTAAAAAAATAAGCGTTTCAGAGAGTTACAAATGCCCTCAAATAGTTAAAACTGTTGGATGTCAAGAAAGGGCTGAGGTACAAAGACAAGTGGGACTTTATTCTCTCTCCCACTTTAGCCACTCAAATTGTTTTAAGACCCTAATTCGCTGTATTGGGTTTAAAGTTGCTAGTGGTTTGTATTTTGCAGCCAATTAGTAATGTTCCTCTTCGTTTTCCTGATCTCATTACAAAACGCTACCTAAACCATAGGAAAGCGACTAGGAACAGAAAATTCCAGTTGTTTAGAATAAGTGCGGGGTTATCAACGAGGGGGAAAATCTATACGAATTTCAGTTACATCGAATGAACTTCCAGGGAGAGGCTTGAAACTCCACCGAATGTGACCATCACCTCAGCGCAAATCATTCTCAGAGACAAGCTCTCAGAGTGTCTAACTGGAACGCCTTTAATATCTGTTACATTGATAATCTGTTCTATTCACATACAACAAACAGCTAAGGAGGTCCTTAGTTGGACCTCTCAAGGGCCGTCCGTCAGTTTATTTCAGACTCTTGAGTTTTATAGGATCGTTATACAATACAGCACCATCTAAAATTAATTCCCCAGCCTGTTGCTTCAACGCCGAATATGATGAACATTTTAACCCATTACAATGCAGCCACGTTCAAGTTAGGATCGAACAGTGTTTAGCAAAGATCAATAAGCCGTTCGACTTCGTGCTAAACACTTGGCACAAATCCTTTCTGTATAAATTAACATTTCAGGCAGGATTGCTACACTTGTTCCGTTCACAATGTGCATATGACACACGACGCTGCCTAGTTGTATTTTTAAATGAAATCTTTCCGTCTTGTCTCTGTGGTCTTCCCTTCGCCAGGGTAGGTTTTGAGATATTTTCATTATTGTAATAACTACCCGTCGGATTTCTGTTGCGTTTTATTAACAGTGGATGAGAGGTGTTTCTAATGTGTCAATACTGCCCACAGCGTCCCCACTGCTGGACTGTCTTGTCTATTGCGGAGCCTAAAAATTGTGACAATTCAATCAATCATTGCTCAGAATTGCTAATGAGTTTCCTATCATCAATGTCCAAGTTCTGCCTGTCTCTGCTGTCGGTGGGTATCTTATCTACCAAGTGTATTCTGCTCCTTATGACCTTTCTCATCATATTTTAGTAAATACTGGAATGTGTTGCAGCCTCCTGCAGGACTGATAAGAACTGGTGACCAGGAGCTCCATTCTTGTGTGAAGTGGCAGTGTTGACACATTATGGACTTCTCTCCTTCACCACTGCACTGCTATCTCCACCCTAGCTGGGGAAAGACCACAGAGACAACATGAAGAGATTTCAAACAAATTTCATTTAAAATAAACTATATAACATGTGGATGAAATGAGCACAGCAATCCTGGCTGAAATGTTCATTTATGAAGAATTTAGCCAATTATTTATTACAAATCTCATTGATCTCAGCTAAACAGTGTTAAACTGTAACTCAAACGTGGCTGTCAGTGGTCAGTTTATGGCTTTTGCAATAACAAAGTGAATCTTTCTTACTCAGAGTTGCAAACTACAGACTCTAGTATTATGAACCTTGCAGTAGCTCTGTATCAAAGTGCTTCACACTCTCCATATGACTGGTCATGCAGTGATTGTTGTCAAGAACAGAAAACAGATAATTCTCAACAGGTTTGGCAGCTGCTGTGGAGGAACAGGAGGTGGCATTTCAGAACTTATGCCTTTCCTCTGAGCTGGGTTGGTCAGCAATTTAATGGGAATGGGCAAAGGGAGCAGGAGGTGTGAGTCATGGATATGATGAGCTCTGAGTTGGCATGATTTATCAGTCACAACTCCAAGCATGAGCATTGGTTTATTCACCTCTCTGTGATCCCAGATGCATTGACACCAATGACAGTTTTCTAAGTCCTGCTCAGCTCCAACCAATTAATACACACTGGCAACGAAACCAAGAACCTAGAAGGGTCAGGGGACTCAAAACGTCAACTCAGCTTTTCTGCGCACAGATCTTGCCAGACTAGCTGTGTTTCTCCAGCACTGTCTGATTTAATTATCTCCTCCATGGTGCGTATATGGAGTGAGGTGGCAGGGGAAGTGGTAAAGGTGAGTACAATTACAAGATTTAAAAAACATTTGGACAGATACATGGATAGGAAAGGTTTAGAGGGAAATGAGCCAAATGCAGACAGATGGGACTAGTTTAGTTTAAGAAACCTGGATGGCATGAACAAGTTGGACCGAAGGGTCCGTATGACTCTAAGGCTCTTTTAGTAACAGGACACTGAGTTAATGGGCTTTCACAGCAGCAAGAATGCTCATAAATCGTGAAGGTGAGACATACATCGTTTGCCTAATATTTAGCAGCTCTCAAATCTATTTGGCCAGATCTCAGTCTGAGTTGACAAAAACAGGAAGTGCTGGAGAAACTCAGCAGGAGTGGCAGCATCTGTGGAGAGACAAACAGAGTTAGCATTTTGTGCCCAGTGACCTTTCTTCAGTACTCAGTCTGGATTGCCAGGTTTCTTCTGATCTCAAATTTCCAATGGTTGCTGGCATGAAATTCTGTGCTAACTTTATGCAGGTTTTGGAAAATTCCCTGTAACTATTCCAAAGTAAAAAGAAAACTTCAATACATTACACAAGGATCATGATCCACCAAAATAAATTGCATAGTCCTTTTAATTATGTGCTGTAAAGCATCAGAAGATATCTTCCAGCACACAAAATAACACAATTGTTGTGTGCAAATTCTCTATGCTCTTAAGGCTACCTGTATTCATCATGATGGATACATCTTATGGCTTTCTTACAATTCCAGTGAAACAAACCACATACCATCTCCAACACACTTCATTTAATCACTGTAAGCACTTTCCTTTCCATTTAACATTTTCTCTGTGCCAAAGCTTCTCTTTAATGTCATCTAAATGAGAAAACTCAGTAGCAATGGCATATGTGTTTACAGATTGACTTTAGCAATAATAGCAGGATTTAGCATGTGGGAAATGGCATGTAATTTCTCCAATCATTCCATGACTTGAGTGAAGCACCAACAAGCTGTAAACGCACTTCACAGATGTCACAGTTTGGTTAAGTCATTCCCCCGTGGAAACTTGGAAAAGACCACAACGAAATTAGACCACAACTTATCATCTTTATTTTTTAATTTATAAGGAAAAATCACATTTCTCCATTTCCATTGACCTGGTTCATGGTCAGAGTTAATGCTCCACCCTGGAAACAAATATAAGGGAATAACACCTCAAGTTTATGAAGGTAC